CCAATTCAGCTGCTGGTCAGTTTCAGCAGCGGCTGAATCGGGGAAGCCGGGTGCAGAGCAGCTCCAATTGTCCGGCTGCCCCAGCGCTTCCGGGTTCCCGATGGTGCCGGACCATCAGGAGTGCCAGAGCATTGGATGCCGGACCAATGGAGTTCTACTGTATTAATGTTTACTATTGAATTTGCTTCAATATAGATAGCCCAATTCAGCTGCTGGTCAGTTTCAGCAGCGGCTGAATCGGGGAAGCCGGGTGCAGAGCAGCTCCAATTGTCCGGCTGCCCCAGCGCTTCCGGGTTCCCGATGGTGCCGGACCATCAGGAGTGCCAGAGCATTGGATGCCGGACCAATGGAGTTCTACTGTATTAATGTTTACTATTGAATTTGCTTCAATATAGATAGCGTAGCCAATTTACAGTTCTTAATTTAAATTTTATTTTGGTACTAACGTAACCAAAATATTAGACCTCAGAATTAAGCTAAAGAAAGGGAAATGTATTTTACAAGTGTGTTAAGTGCATCTCAGAATCTTTCTAAGTGCAGAGTCTGGAGGAAAAGGAGTCCTGTGCGCTTTCATTCATTGTTAGCTGAATCCAGGGCAAGGGTGAACATCTGAAAATAATGTTTTCAGCACGCACACTCATACACCCAATCTGATAAGTGTTCAGTGATAAAAATGCCTCTTTCCCCAGCATGGGCATCTCAGACCTCCCTTCCTATTGCACAAAGCACCTTTTTACTGAGAATATACACTGGAAGTTTTTGCTAAAAGGAATACATGTTAGTTCCCCAACATTTTGCGTCTTATAAGTACTCAAAATTTGTGAGCCATTTTTTATTATAATATTATATCTATCAAAAGATTCCTGATGTAACAAGAATTGTTTTATTGACTTCATTAGAGCCAGGGATTCACCCCAAAACAAATATATATAAATCCAAATGTATCGTCATCTGATTTTCCTTCTCCGTCATTTTTGCTGGCACTTCAAAGAATTATACTAGATTAGAGAGTTCACTTTTTTTCCTTTGCAGAAACCAAAGTAATTTGTCCCTATTATACTGTGATCTAGATGTTTTAGAATGATTTTTTAATTGTTATTGCAACCTGTGTATACCCTGACGTGAAACTCACCAGTCTAATTCCCAGGATCATCTATAGTGGTTTTCTCTTACAGAGAAAGATTTGCTTTCTTGCAGCATAAATAACCTATTTTTATGAGCATTTATTTCTGGTGGTGGCTTAGATATCTCATTCTCTCATCCCTTCAGAACTCTAAGGTACCTTTCCTCTTCTGGGGGTGACTTATTGCTCTTCAATCAGCCTGTTAACAGTGTCAGTTGGCTTCTAGGGGAAAGCCTACCAGGTATAAACCTGCAGGCTAACAGAGGCTGTCCCTGATGAAATTAGGGCATGGTGTATAGTTAGATTGGGGCCTCACCTAAACTCCTGATAGTCAGAAAGTTTATTTCTATAGGTCAAACTAGGGATGTCAATGTCAATCCTGTGGACTACACGCATTTCCCCCCCACTTTGCTGCCTCTATATCAGAGGCGGGGAAGGGAGGTGGGAGCTGGTGCCCATGAGGAGCCAGTTTTTAAGCTGGCTCTCCACGAGCACCGGATCCCACAGAGCCACCAGGGGGACACACCCCCTCCCTTCCCCAGGTGCTACTGCCTCTGATAGGCAGCAGCACAGAGGCTGAGGGGTGGCAGGAGGGAGCTGGCACACGTGGGAAGCCAGCTTTCAAGCCAGTTCCCCATGTGTATTGGCTCCTGGAGAACCACCCTCCCCCCACTCCACACTGCTACATCTCTCCCATAAATACCAGGTCCACCTGCCCCTATTGGAGGCAGCGGGGCAGAGGGGCTGGTGCGGATCAGCCTCTGACCATGGTGAGCCCAGGCCCACCACGGACAGAGACTGCTCAGTGGATGCTGGCTCAGCCTCTGTCTGAAGCACAGGGTGGTAGAGGGTTCCCCAGGAGTGGGGCCAAGAGCACACTGGCTGCTGGTCCCACCCCCAGAAATAATCATATAACCGCTATATTTGATGTGGTTACACAATTATTCAATTACACACTATCTAACATTCCTAAATCAGCCCCTTTGAATTATAAACTGGATGGAAGCTGATGCAGGTTCTTGAGTACCAGTTCCACATGCTTCCTGTGGGAGACACCAAGTGGAAATCTACTTTCTGTACTAAAGTTTCCAATTGACTTCTGTGCACCAGTCCAGCACTTGTCACTTGTGCTAACCTCACGTTGTGGTGTTCAGGAGGGTCTGATGCACGCTTTTTGGAGATGGGCTTCTGTCTCCTTCAGAATGTAGGAACTACAGAGTAGGGATGTTAAATATCAGTTAACCGAATAGTCGATTAACCTCATGAGTTCTTATCGATTAGTCAACTATTTTATAGTTCCTGAGGGTGGGGCTGGCAGCCAGTGCACTCTGGCCCCACCCCCCAGGAACCTCCTGCCACTCTGCGCTGCTGCTCCTGCCTCAGGGTTGTAGGCGGGAGCTGGTCTGTGAGGGGAGCCAGTTTAAAAACCAGCTCCTCTCATGGACTGCCTGTCGCCCTGTGCTGCTGCCTCTGATACAGAGGCAGGGGTGGACTGGCCCTGCCTCTTACACACAGACACAAATGGGGGGGGTTGAGCTCTCAGACCCGGTGCCCACCAGAACGGAGCCGGGCTGCCTGCCTGCCTGCTAATACTCTTTAAATGCAGAGCTACAACGGGGTAGGTCCCAGACCCGGCGCAAGCTGGGACTGAGCGGGCTGCTGGCCTGCCTGCTGAAAAAGTACTGACAAGGGGGGAGAAATGCGTGTCGTCTATAGCACTAACCTATACGCTTTTGCTTATCAGTTAATCGACTCCACTATTACTTCCCTACTACAGCGCATCAGTTTCTTTATATGCCCGCTGAGGGAATTGTGACCCTAGCTTTCTTGTGCTGTGCTTGCGCAGTTTGTGGACTCTTGCAGCTGTATTTTCCAAGAGGCCTCAAAGCGGCTTCTAGATTGGGGCTTCTAGGATTGGGAATTCCAAAGCCTGTGCAGTCGGTCCTGCAAAATCACAGGGAGCAGG